TAAACATGTATTTTCAGTAGTATCCTAGCGTTCTCCTTTTTTTTTTCGCCTCTCCACTCTTGCTCGAGTTTCTTGTGACCCGTTTTTTTATTCTTCTTTTTTTATCAAAATTGTGGTTGTGCTTGTTTTTTTGAGGTTGCATTTCTCCTGGTATCCTTGGCTTTCATCAGTTGTAAGAAGTAGTTGCCTGTAAATCCTACGTTTTTTTTTTTTGCTTTGTTGTTGTCCGTCTGGTTTTGTGTGTGTGCGTGCGTGTGTTTTTTTGCTTGTGTGTACCGCAACCCCTCCCCCCCCCCTTTTTTTTTTGCTTTCGCGTGTGTCCTGCCCCGTCGGACGGTGCGCACATCACTGCTTGTGAAGGGGGCGCAGGTTGCATAGGGCCGATGCGTGCGCATTGCCCACGGATCAGCGACCCATGATGCCGCCGGGGGTTGGCGGTTGGCCGCCTTATTGTTCTGCCGGGGCGCCGTTGCTTTTGAGTCTTTGGGGATCTATAAGCTTGCCTCTCTGTGGCGCACGGCGTGGGAATACGTACACCATGTACCGCCCCGCGAGGTCGATGCATTCTCAAAGCACGCCCAGGTGTTGCGGATAGAAGAATTAGAGCCCATTTGGCTGCGTGAGCCTGAACGGGCGTCTGTCACTGCTGAGAGACTCTGCGTCAGGCTCTGCGCTGGGCGGCGGCGGCAGACGGCTCCGTTGGGGCACCGCGCTGCTGGTGTCTCGCCTGCCGAACAGCGCATACGGGGTGCGCAACTGCCTTTTCACCCTTTAACCCTCGTCCCTTGGGCAGCAACACCGAGTCGTAGAACACAAAGACGCACATAAAATGAAGGAAAAACGGGGGAAAAAACGGAGGGAACACTGGAGTTGAAACATGTGATGTTTTTCCCTTTTCGTTTATTCGCCCCACACGCACACAAACATGTGAAAGCGTTTGGCGGGAAGGAAGAGCAGCGTCGAGCAAACACGTCACGCGTCAGTGCTTGGGAGAGTGAAGCTTTCTTCTTATCTATTCTTCTTATGTTTTCTTAGGCACGCTGGTGGGTGGGTGGTGGGTGGGAGGTCAATGAGGCGGTCTGTGAAGAGGTTTCGGCGCGGGACACGCCACGGCCTTCGATGGAAGCGTCGAGCTCTTCTTCTGACGCTGCTGCTCGTGGCGCTTCTCCTCGTGTTCAACGGAACCTCCGTCGCGCTGCTGCATCGTTTATTTTTTACTCGCAAAAGCGCCGATGACGTGGGGGTGGTTGCCCCCACGCCGCCGAAGTCGTGGGGGGAAGGAGGAGAAGCGCTGCGAGAGCGGAGTTCAGCGAACGTGACGGGCCCTGTTTCCGCACGCAGTCCCCCGGAGGCGCCCCAGGTTGGTTTTCTGAGGCCTCACCGTCGCCACCACTTGGAGGCCGTGTACTCCGCCGAAGGGTGCAAACCGAGGCTTGCTGGGCCGAACGCCGCGGAGGAGACGGAGCACGGGGATACGCTGATACGAGTGCAGTTCTTTAGGCCCCACTGCCGACCAGGGGTTCATGGCGGGAGTGGAGAAAGTGAGAAGCAACGAAGGTGCGACGATCCTGCAAGCCCCATTGTCGGTATCATGCCGCATCTCTCGACTGCCTCCTTCTTCCCTGAGGAGGTCCTGACGGACGAGACGGACGCACAACTGGGGCCCAGCAAATTGCAGAGTATTGTAGAGGAAGAGAAGGGGGGAGCAGGAGAAACGCGGTGGCGCGCGGCTTCCATGAGGTCGCACTCACTGCGGTGCCGACCGCGGGGTAACGCGAGTGCGGGCCGGAAACCAAACTGGGTGTGGGATTCCGGTGCGTTTCTTGTAGACATCTCACTACGCTTGTCAACTGCGAAGGGTGAGTTATCAGGTGGTTTGAATGCAAACTTTTCTTTCAATCCAGCGTATCGAATGCACTTTTTTGGACTCCCATCGCATGCAAAAGGAATGCGGCTATCAGACGAGGGTGAGTATCGCCTTTTTAACCAGTTTCATTTTGACGAGACCAGCACATTGGGCACAAGTAGGAGCGGCACAGTACCGCTCTTGTACGCAGTCGGGCGCGTACCATATCGTGACGGTACAACCGCAACGGTTGGCTGGAGACGACGCGCAATGGGCATTCTCTGGCTTAACGGCTCCCCATTGCAGGTGCGTATGTCAGCAGCAGCGGCAGGCGGTGACGGAAAAACAACCCTGTCGTTCAATAGCACAGCAGGTGCTACTCGTGTATATCTGCTGCCAGGTCCAAGAGCCGAGGATGTTCTTGTGCAGTATTACACCTTGACAGGGTTTCCGATGATGCCGCCCCTCTTTGCGTTGGGCTACCACCACACACATCGGGGGTACAGAACAGCAGACGACCTGCTGAAGGCGAGCGCTGCCTTTTTACAGGCGCAAATACCAGTCGACACGCTTGGCATGGGCTTCTACTACGCAAACGGCAAACACATTTTTACTTGGAACCGTACACGCTTTCCGGACCCGGTGCGATTACAGGATGAACTCTGGCGCCATGGTGGACGCCTCCTTGTTCTCTCCACTGTGCCGTACTTGCCAGTGGACTCGCACTTCTCTCTCTACCTCGAAGGCAGACGACAGGGGTTCTTCGTCACGAGAGATCCGGATACAGAAGTTATACTCGTGGACAATTCCCAGTCTGGTGCAAGGGTGTGGGTTGACTTTCTTGATCCACGTGCACGGCGGTGGTACGGTGGTCTATTTAAGTACAAACGTTTTGTTGGTTCCACAAACCACACGTTTTTCGCCTTGGAGGAAAATGAACCTTTTGTGCAGGGTGGTGTGCAGATGACACTTCCCATGAGGGCTGGTCACCGAGGTGCCGTCCCCCATGCGTTTGTCCACAACTTGTACGGCTTGCTGCACACCATGGCTGCTTACGGGGGCCAACTGCGACGGACGCACTTCTACCGCCGGCCGTTTGTCATTACACAGTCGTACTTTGCGGGCACACAACGTTACGCCGCCGTGCGCCTGGGGTACAGCACGGCTTCCTGGGCTCACCTGCGTTCCAGTCTGGCAGTCTGCTTGGCGCATAGCATTATGGGCATTCCGTTTGTCGGTGCCGATGTTGGGGGGTTTTTCTTTCAAAACATCGGCGACGAGTTGTTGGTGCGGTGGTACCAACTCGCCGCGTTTTATCCTCTGTTTCGCAGGGATGCCAGCGAAGACGCACCGTCCCGGGAAATATGGCATTTGGCGCCTTATGTGCGTGCTCGTATTCGTGACGCCGTGCGGTTCCGCTACACCCTCTTGCCTTATCTCTACACACTTTTCTGGAACTCCCATCAACGTGGCGATTTGATCCTTCGACCGCTGCTCTTTGTGTATCCGCAGGACCCGCTCGTCTATGTGGAGCCGACGCTGCTGGGCCAACAGTTTTTTCTCGGCCCACATCTCTTTGCGGCGCCGGTGTTAACTCCTCTGAGTTTGGGGAATACAGCGCACACCCTGCAGATGCCGCGCGAGGAGTTCTATGATTTCTGGTCGGGCGAGTTTGTGAGGGCAGGGACGACGTTGCAGCTTGCAAAGAATATTTCGTCCTCCCTCCAGTCTGAGGAGGCGGTCACGCCGCTTTTCCAACGGGTGGGAACAATTCTGCCAACATTTGCGCTTGCGAGTCAGGTGCGCAGCACACATGATGCGGCGAACTACACTCTGACAGTTACGCTTCCCCCTCTAGAACGGTTTCTCTCCGGAGGCGGCGGCGGCGGTACCACTCCACTCCTCCTTGCGCAGGGCGAGCTGTTTGCGGACGGGGGCAGTAGATACATCAACTGTCATGCCCGCAATGTCGCTCACCATGTTTACTGCGCCCTTGCGTTGGAGTGTGTTCTCTCCCCCAGCGAGGGTGAGCTTGTGCTGCGATGGAGCCCCAGTGCGAACTCGTCATGCAGTGACGTGCGTCGCATGCTTCAAAGCGCCACAACAGGGGTGGCGGGCGCAGACGCGTTCCTCTTGACGCGTTTGCGCCTAATGTTTGCCACGCTCCCAGAAAGCGAGCGCGTGCTGCGAGTGGAGTCGCTGGTGGACGGCCGTCACAAGTCTTTTGCGGTGAAGCGGGGCACCCGCCCATTATTGGAGGTTTCGGACATGGCACTGCCACTGCTGGTAGAGGATCGCCAGAGCAGTGGTGACGGCAACCGAGTTCTCTCGCGACCAGTGACCGAGGTCCGCCTGAAGCTGAACACGGCCAACGTCTCACGTGGACCTGGTTTACCGACATAAAATACTCTCTCTTTCTCTTTCTCTTTTTTTTATTCTTGTGGTGGTGTCTCATACCTCACTTCTTCATGTGTGTATATATATAATATGTGTGTGAGTTTCCTCGCAGCTCCTTCGTGGATTTACGCGTGCGTGTGCGCCCTCTTCTCTACGTTCATCTTCCCACTCCCGCTCACCGGCCTCAATGAAGAAAGCAAAACAAACAACAAAAAAGGGGGAGGGAGGCGTACGCAACGCACATGATTGTCTGTGAGCCGTGGAGTGAGACGGTCGCAAAGTTTCTCTTTCCCCCTTTCCCCAAACCCAGCGCACCAGGCATTGCCCCGGAAGAGAGAGATGGGTCTGTTCTGACGCTTATTATTATTATTATTATTATCTTGTTTGGAGGCCTGTGGTGCGTAGGCAGCATTACTATCTTTTTTTTGTTATGTGTATTGGTCTCCTCTAACTCCCTCTCTATAATGAAACGAAAAGAAAAGAGCGTCACCGGCACGAGGGTGTTTGACCGACAGATGTGTGATGTGGAGCAGCATCGTGAGGTGAAGACGTCTTCCTCGCGGCAGCTGCAGGCGGTAAGAACATCAGAGCTTCTCGAGCGCATCCGTGGCAATGATCCGACGCTGCGGAGCCTGCGCGTGTCTCCTGAACTCCTCAAATCACCAGAAGTCTTGAAGGCGCTGCTGCGGAATAACAGCATTCGCAGCGTTGTTTTTGTAAATACGATCCCAAAAACGGTTTCAGAGGCAGCGTGGGCAAGGTTTCTTGCCTGCCTGTTTCATCTACCACTGCACAGTATTAATGCAGGAGGTGGCATGCAGTTGCCAGCGCATTTCATGAGGCACTTGCTGGAGCTTGTGGAGTATTCTTGTGGTGTTGGACGGGGCTGTAAATGGCTCCCAGAGGAGAGTGACATCCTCAATGTAAAAGCTGCAGCGCCAGCAGCAGATGGGGTTGCGAGTGCGGCGGCAAACTTTGTTGCGGATGACTTGAAGGCTGAGGCGGCATTGCAATTCCTTGACCTGTCGGGAAGTCACATTACGGAGTCGCATGCAAGATGGTTGGCGCGGACGCTGTTCCATCCTCGATGTTCGCTGCGGCATGTTGACCTTTCAGAGTGCCTCCTGGGCACTGTGGGCCTACAGAACTTGCTGCTGGAGGAGTCAGCTTTAACCTCACGCCTCACCGCTGAGGTCGTGGCTGCCACACAAATTGAGGTTTTAGACCTGCGGTGGAATGGCGTGACGGAGGATTTTGGCCTTCGCGTCTTTCTTGACTCCTTGGAGGCGTATTCCACCTGCATCACGTGTGTGGTGGCGCATGGGAACTACCTCTCTCCTGGATTGCACCAGCGACTCGCGGAGCGAAAGGCTAGGATGTGGCCAGTCATTGTGGGCCGGCGTCAGGCGAGGCACGCCGAGGCGGAGGAGCTGAAGCGCATACGACGGCGGAGGCAGCAGGCCGCTTATTCTTCTTCTTATGGGTCTGTGTTGAACCTCCTTCTATCTGTTGCCGCCGAGTCATCGTCGTCCTTTCCGTTTCTTCACCTGCTGGACTCTCTCCTGCGTATGGAGGAGTAAGGAGGGAAGAGGAACTGTTTTTGACAACTCCCCCCATTTTGCTTCGTTTCTTCTTATGTTCTTTACTCTTCTCTGTTCCAACAGCCCTTTACCAACAACAACCAAAAAAAAAAGAATTACCGTTGTGAAACTACCTTGTCTTTGTGACTTACCGCGTAACTGTGACAGCCTTTCTCTGCCCGCCACAAAATTGACAGTGGGACGAAGCAACAAAGCGGCACCAGCAACGAACGGGCGCGTGCATGTACAGTTGAACTGGTTTGAGCATTCTTTGCTGTTCCCCGCTTGAGCTGCGGATGTGACATATATATATACATATATAAATATCTGGGCACCCCCACGTGTCTCCACATACACACACACACACACTGCTTTTCTATGTCGCTCTGCCGCTGCATGTGTGTGTGTGTGTGTATACGGGATAGTTTGCGTCATTAACTGAGTAGCTTCTTGTTTCCTTTTTGGTTTTGTTTTCCGACCTTCTGACCATTTTTTTTTTCGTTGTTGTTATTGGTATTATTTCCGTTTTTTTTTTGGCTTTGTTTTAGCTTCTCACGCGGTCCCCATTTTGGCAGCCGTGGCCAAAACAAAAGTATTGGCGCCATATACTTAAATTGTTTTCATTTTGAAGGTGAACGGCGCCAATGCGGCGGAGTGGTTTGGCTGCGACGCGGGTCAAGACAGCAGGGCGGCTGGCGGCGCCGCGGCAGATGCCGTCCTTCAAGCCGGTTCCGTTCAAGCAGGAGAAGTTTCTTTCGATGAAGAGCCGCTCCGCGGAGACGTACTTCAATACACGGAAGCAGATTTTGAAGCGCTCTGCTGAAGTTCAGGCGCAGGTGCGAAAGCTGCAGCAAGACCATAGTACGGAGCGGGACGATGCATGCCGTGACCGCATACTCCTTGGCACTCCGCTCACGCCACACATGGCGGACGAAATAGACGCCTGGAACCGAAGCCTGAGGAACCTCGAGGCGCTACAGGGATTTGTGCTGAACGATGAGCTAATCTACGGTGCCATTTCAAAAAATATGCGACTAGGCGCGTTTCCTTATGCGTTGGATTGGTTAAGAAAATGCGCGCGAGAGCGTCGAATTCCTGTTTCCACTGTCGTGCTGCATGATCTGCGGGTATTTGTCGACTTTGTGCAGTCAGTGCTACCGGCAAGCAATGCGAGTTTGACGAAAGCCCACGAGGCTCTTCTTGGTGATGCGCTCACGATGGCCGGCGCAAGAGCACCAAACACCGCCGAGGAAACGAGTTCGGCTTCACTGCTGTCTTCCGATGAAGCGAGTGCAGACGAGACGGCTGCCACGCAGCTTGTGAACTCGTCACCGTACGTGCGATATCTCTTTAAGGAACTGTACATGCCACTGTGGGAGTGTCTATCGGAGCTAGGTCTTCTCCCGCCTGAGAGAAGTGAAGAAGCGGAGACGGACTGGGAACAACTGCTGCGGTCGGCGCAACGTGACGACGTGGTCTTGGATTTGCTTGGCCGTCTTTGCAGTTGCTCCTGCGGTGACGCTGGTGCGTTTTCCCTCACTCCCGCGTCCTCCGCGTCGGCCTCGCCTAATGCCACGACCGATGGCGGCGGTGAGTTCGCGCCAACGGCTCTCCAGGCCTACACGGAGCTCCTGCTTGCCCTTCTGCAGTGTGCGGCGGAGGCCAAGGAGTTACACCTTCTCATTGAACTGCAGTTGATTTTTTGTATCTTGTTTCTTGAACCAACGCCTCGAGCCGAACCGGCGCCGGGTTGGAGACTCAAAAAGGGGATTTGGTGCAACACTGAGGCGGAGAAAGAATTGCTTAGCCGTTTTGCAAACGAGTTCCTCGCTGCTGCATACTATGGCCGGCTGGCACATCAAGGCGAGATCTCCCTGCAGTGTTGTATTCGCGCTTTCTCGGGTGATGTCCGCGATGCTGGGGAGGAGGGTGGCGTTGGCGCCAACAGCATTGAGGATGGGGGACAGGAGACAAACATAAAATGGGAGGAGCACGGCGAGGCGCAGGAGGGGGAGGGGGAGACTGCGCCATCGTCGTCATGCAGAGATGCAGTTGAGGTCGAGGGCTCCGTGGATCATTCCTCCTCCCCAACATCGTCGTTAGTGGTGAGACGGCAAACGGCCGTCGATGAGGTGTTGAAGCAGTTGCTACAGAATGAGGCATCTGCGCTCACAGAGGCGTCCATATATGCTGCTTTGGCGCTGGAGGACGCCGGGCTCATTCCCAACGGAAACGGCACGTCCACGTCGGCCTATCGCTTCTCGGCCGTAGAAGTGGAGTGGATGCGGCTACACTGCGATGTGTGCCGGCGGTGCCGTATTGGAGAAAATGTCACGTCTGAGTTGGAGGGATTTTTTCTTCCAGGTGGCGTAGTGGCGCGGAGCCTCGAGGCGAGCATAAGCAACGTGACAGATCAGCAGTGTTTCCTGGCATTGGTAGTGGAGACATTAGTGAGTGTGGTGGCGACGTCCACCACGCGTACGGCAGAGTGGTGGACGGTGATAGCTCGAACGATGGCGGAGCTGCTGCTTCGCATCGAGGAGGCTCGGCACCAACAGCAGGAGAATGGAGAAAAACCGTTGTTACTCTTGCCATTGTACAGTGCGGTGAGCGCCATGGTCGTCTTGTCACCTTTATTGGGGAAAAAGGGAAACCCTGCAAGCGCCGAAAGTGATGGGAGTGGGTTGAATGATACGGCTGTACTCCGCGATGATGTGATGCGGCTCATGTCAGACTTCATGCGGAGTGTGCTGAACCAGCCAACAAGTTTTGGGAATGCGTACAGTGTGGTGCTGGTGCTTCTCATACAGATGGAGATGTGGGAGGAAGCGCACCGCGTACTGTGCAAACTCGACGAAGCCAACGGGGAAGGGGGCGCAGCGCATGGGATCAGCAGTGTTGTTCTGGACCAGCGTGTGTGGGCTTGGATCTTTCGGACTGCCCGCGATGCGGGCCGAGCAGATATTTGTCTATTTCTGCGTCAAAGGCGTGAGAAGCTCTTTTACTAGCGCAGAAGTCAAGACGTTGAAATACTGCTGCTGCGACTACTGCTTTGAAGGCTCTGTTGTTGTTGTTGTTGTTGTTGTTGTTGATTGCAACTGTGGGCGGTGGGGTGTGTGGTCGACGCTCTCTCAGTTTGAGGGGTGTTGTGCCTAGGCCCTTTTGTGTTTGCCTTTTGGTTTTATTTGTTTATTTTTGTCGGCGTTGCTTCTTTCTTTGTTTGCTTGCTGATGTGGGGGGTTTGCTGTGAGTGAGCACGTCCAGTGTGCGCGGGTGTTGCCGCAATGTCGCCTGCGCGTTGTTGCCCGTTCCCCCTCTCCCTCCGTTCAATGCTTCCGTGGGTGGGGTGGAGTTCACATTGCACGCACGCATACGAGAAGAGGAAGAAGTTGGAAATGAAGGAGTAACTGAGAGAGAGAGAGAGAGAT